TTTGGTAAAAATTGTAGAAAAAGAATATTACACAAGAAATTCCACGGTAAAGATTCAAAATCAAGACTTCAAACATTTACATATGAGCTCCAACCGAGATACAAGATATGTTTGAATATAAATGAATTATCAGTAATATAAAGTATAAATTTAATCTACGGCCAATAAGAAAAAAATTTCTCTCAATGGATCCAGCACGCGCGGGCGCATGTGCTTGTCGGGTGCTGGATCCGCGCCTCGTGCTGCTTGATCTTTTCTCCTTTTTGTGTGTGATTTCACTATAATTTGATGGAGTTATTGCTGTAACTTTTCTTCTTTTTTATTTTAACTTTGTGTATATATAATGTGTGCATTGATTTTATGTTTATTTCTTCCTTTTTTTACTTGTCACAATGCATTATGGTCAAGCTAGTCAGTTCAACTGGTTTTGTCCTTGTTTGCCTTTGCCTGCACATATTTGAAGATATTTTTTAATTGACAATGCATACTGGACAAGTGTAAATGTCTTTATATAAAACTGGTTGCACTGTAACACATACTGACAAAGGCTGCTTTGGCTCAGCTAATACATAAGAGACAGTGAAACTTCATTATTACACGGAATATGGCATGTCGAGCAAAATGGAACCAGATAGAAAACTAATAACAAATATTCTCATGCAATCTCTTCTCATATACTGTTCTGCCCAACTAGACTCCTTTTCTATTTGCTCGGAGTCTTTCATTTAAAAATACTTAATTCCTATAAGATAAAGACTTCCCATCTTCTTTTGTCCAGTAAGCTAACACTTCTGTCTTGATGCAGGTAGAAACTAGCTCCTATTGTTCGTGTTACCTGTTGGCATGGTAACACACATTTGCCTCGTTTCTTATCATACAGCGGAGAATTGTAGGGGAAAACGTATGCTTTCCTTGGTGAAATTACTGTGTTTCCACCATCCCATGATCTGTTTTTTCTTATAGTATATATAGTATTTGGTAATAGTCCAGATGTGAAATCTCTTGGAGATGCACCACAACAGTAGATGACTCATTTTGGATTGAGTAGAAAACTGAATATTTTGAGATTGCTTTCTTCCTCGATCCTTTTTCATTCCAAAATTCTGAATGTTACGCCCCTATCTGAACCACTTCGAAAAGTCCACCACCACATCATGCGAGGTGTGGAATACTCATCCGAAGTGGTTTCGAAGTGACTTTACCAATGGTGACTATCTGCTATCACACTACGAGATATAGGCATAGGTAATCTTGCCAGACTAACCGAAGCGCCCTCGCTCCTGAATCCGAGGCGAAATGTACTCCGGTGACCTTGGTCAGAGGATCCACAGCCAATTTCAGAATAAGATCTTGGTCAATATCTTTTTTGCCCCTAAAGTTTAAAGTGATTTGACGTCTCCATGAGGCTAGTTGATATGACATATCAACTTTATGTCAACTCAACTCGAGAGAAGTAATTACCTGCACAATCTATAGACGTGGCTGATTGACGCCTATGAGCAGACGCCTCATACCGTTCAGATGTATACACGTGTCCCACATCTAACGGTTCTCCTCACCTATAAATACCCAAGGCTTGACAAGAGGCAAAGGTAATGAAATTCTTACTAATTAGCACTACATAGCAAGCAAATATATATATTCTCCTCCCCACTATTTTGCACAACCTTGGTACTGTTTAGATCACCTGAGCCTAACTTGACTGTCGGAGTGTATACGGCCGCTGCCACCCCCGCTAGTTCTGGCCGTGTGCATCTGACCGTGCGTAGGGAGGAATACGTGGAGTGACTATCGGTTGGTCACGTGGAGGGTCTAATTTCTGAGGTCAACAGATTGGCGCTGTCTGTGGGAAACTTCCCGTTCAAAGTTCTGCATTCTCCACCAGAGAAATCACCAAAAAACTAGCGACTTACCCTGAAAAGTGCACGTTCTTGAAAAAGAACAAAGTCGAGTTATAACCCAAGTTCTCATCACCCTTGAAAAAGGAGATAGAATGAGTTCCAGCCATGAAGACGACAACCCCATATGAGAGGCCTTTGAAAAAGAGGTGTTCCATAACAATGTCACTCACCAAAGACCCCATCACCAGCGTCGTCGAGGTGAAAGAACAGCCATGCTCACTGAAGGAATGGCTCAAATAGCTGCGGGAATGAGAGACGTCGCAGTTCTGAATATGGCGATGTATGAACTTTTCATGCAAGCCCGAGGTCACCAAGGGTCTCAAATGCCCAAGGATCTTATCTAGTGTAGGAAGCCCCTGTATCTCGTTCCCGAGGCCATATTAGCCAGCACAGAGAACGCCCTCTCGAAATATAAATGGGCGCGGAAGCCACATCCTATGTGCAAGGGAGCCAGCCAGCAGAACCACAGCTAGGGGATAATTTTTCTCAAGAATATGAGGAACAAAGGTCAATAAGCATCTTCGGCCGAATAGGACAGGACCCTAGCAATAGGGTCCGCCCAGTGCGAAGATCAGTTCGGCAAGACCAGGAGCAAGAACGGGCACCTCCTCCTCCTAGAAATAGGAGGGATAGAATGAACCTAGTCTTGGGGGAGCCGAGGAGAAGCACCTCCACCTCCCCAGGATATTCAAGATGATGAAGGGTCAGATGGGCCTTGTCGATCTTATAAAATCGACAATGATGATGATAACCTCCCTTTTTCAAGGGAGATTCGAAGCTTCCCAATGCCGACGAACTTCATACACCCTAAGATCTCCAAGTATGAAGGAAAGGGGGACCCAGAGAAGCACCTCACCAAGTACATGACACAGATGAGTCTCAGGAGAGCCTCGCCTGCTTTGAAATGCAGAGCCTTCCACTTAACCCTGGGCGAAGTTGCTGAAGTGTGGTATAGCAGACTTCCTCCTCTGAGCATTAGGAGTGGCCATATTTGAAGAAGGTATTCTTGAACCAATACCTCTCACGCAGGGAAGGAGAGGCTTCAGTACAACGCCTGCAAGATATGAGGCAGGCCCTTGGAGAGATGCTGAAAAGCTATCTCACCAGAGTTATAGACGAAATCACATACTGCAAACATGTCACTGACAGAGAAGCCCTTTCAGCTCTAAAAGGCGGCATCAACATGAACACTTTATTCTGTAGGGATGTGCGTAGCAAAAATCCCACAACTTATGACGAGCTAGCAGAAATGATGAGAGTTGAGATCGTTAGTGAAGAGATGATTGACCACAGAAATTGTGCAGCGCATGGACTTCCTCCGCCTCAGAGGCAGGTAGGTCGAGAACCCGCAGCACACCTTGTCACTCAGCAATGGACTCAAACAGGTCATACAATAGCTCCCACCTCCGGACAGGCACTGGCTTCTACCACACTGAATGCAGTCCCGATGCTGGCCTGGCATACCAGAATCTCCCTAGCGAAGCAGGGCCATCCGGAAGAACTGATAATAATAAAAAGAAGAAGAAGAAGAAGCGGTCAAACATGCCTTTGGAAGGGGCAAGGTTTTGCACTTTCCACCAACGCTATGGGCATGACACTAGTGAGTGCAGAGACGCTAATCGAGCCCGGATTGAACCAACCCACATCCCTCCCAGGGGAACGAATATCCTCTCAGATCCACCTCCCCGAACAGAGGAAAGAGAAGGCATATAGAGCAATCACCCCAGAGAAGAGAATCAAGGGACTGAGGATAGTCTAGACAGAGAGATCAGGCCCCATTTTCTGGGAGCCAAGTCATCAGGGAGATCGAGATCGACACGATCATTGGGGGACCTCACATCGGTGGCAACACGAGGAACGCCCAAAGAAATTACACAAGAGAAGCAAAGGACCTATTAATGATTACTTACATTGTCAACGAGTCCTAAGAGGCCAACAGGATGGCCTCAATTACCTTCTCCCAGGAAGATGCACAAGGAGTTCACCACCCCCATTGTGACGCATTAATTGTGAGAGTCGTAGTGCCCAGAAACCGACTCAAATGCATGCTCGTCGATAATGGCAGTTCGATGAACATACTGTTCGGCTCCACTTTCAAGAAAATGCAAATTGAACATGGGTTGATCTCCATGACCGACCTACTATTCGGATTTACTGGAGACAACATCATCCCACGAGGGCGGATCACTCTGCCCGTTGAGATGGGTTTAGCACCCCTAGTGGCCCAACATTTCATGAAATTCTTAGTGGTAGACCACAGATCGACCTATCATGGAGCATTGGGCAGACCCGCTTTGAAAGATCTTTAGGCCGTCATATCCATCCACTACTTGTGTATGAAATTCCCAACTGAACATGGGATTGCTACAATCTGAGGCGACCAGATGGGCTCCAGGGCATGTTACTTGAACTCTCTGTGAAAGTCGGAGCCCCGAACTATTAACGTGATCAGAACTAAAGTTTCCAACGAAGCCAGTATGGACGTGGAAATGTTCGGGCCCCTGAACAAGGGCATACCTTCTAACAGGAGGAAGACGTCGACATGGAAGAGTCCCCTGAACAAGGACACCCTCTTGATGAGTTAGATCCCTGGATAATTGACTCCGAACCAAATGCAACCCCAATGAAAGAACTCGAAACTTTCTCCGTCAATTCGGAGGACCCTAGTTAAGTCTTGCGATTAGGGAAGGCACTGTCCCCTGAAGTAAAAGAAGAGATGATAACCTTCCTGAAAAGGAACTTAGATGTCTTTGCTTGGAAGCACGAAAACATGGTGGGAATAGATCTAAGGATCGGTTGCCACCATCTTAACATTAACTCCGTCTGTGCCCCTCATCGGTAGAAAAGACGTGTCCTCAACCCAGAGAGGTACGAGGCTCTCAAAGACGAAGTAAGCAAGCTTAGCCGTAGTGATTTCATAAGGAAAACCATCTACCCGAAGTAGATATCCAACCTGGTCTTGTGAAAAATCCCAGCGGGAAGTGGAGGGTGTGCGTAGACTTTACCAACTTGAATAAGGCGTGCCCTAAAGACAGCTTTCCACTTCCTAGGATAGACCAACTTGTGAATTTCACCACTGGACATGAACTATTGAGTTTCATGAATGCATATTCAGGGTACAATCAGATACCCATGTTCCGATCTGATGAGGAAGCTACGTCATTCATTACAGACAAAGGACTCTACTGCTACAAAGTCATGCCCTTCGAATTGAAAAATGTCGGGGCTACATCTCAGAGACTGGTTAATATGATGTTCGCAGAACTCATTGACAAAACCATGGAGGTCTATGTGGACGACATGCTAGTCAAAAGCCTCCAGGCAAGCGAACACGTAAGTCACCTTGACCAAACCTTTCATATACTTAGAAAATATAAGATGAAGTTGAATCCCCTCAAGTACACTTTTGTGGTGGCTTCGGGTCAGGTACATTGTTAACTAAAGAGGAATTGAAGCAAATCCTATAAAGATAACGGCCTTGCTAGAGATGAGGTCACCTCAGAAGTCGAAGGAGGTCCAAAGCCTCAATGGTCGGATAGCTGCGGTTAGTCGCTTCATCTCCAGGGCTACTAGATAAGAGCTTACCCTTCTTCAGTGTGCTTAAGTAAGGAAAGAAGTTCCAATGGACTTCTGAACGCGAGGAAGCCTTCTAGGCGCTGAAAAAGCACCTTAGAGAGGCGCCCCTTTTGTCAAAACCTCAACCAGAAAAGTCTCTGCTGCTGTATTTGGCGGTTTCGGACGTGACGGTCAGTGCTGTCCTAATCAGAGAAGAAAATGAGTTCCAGTTTCTAGTATACTACGTTAGCAAAACACTCTTCCCAACTGAAACACGCTACCTAGACATGGAGAAACTGGCACTTGCCCTCATCACAGCCTCAAGGAAACTGAGGCCATACTTCCAGGCCCACTCAATCGAAATTCTCACCAACTTCCCATTGAAGCAAGTGCTGTAGAGAACAGACGCATCGGGACACCTGCTAAAATGGGCAATCGAGCTCAGTGAGTTTGACCTACTGTTCCGACCTCGACATGCCATCGAGGGCCAGACCCTTACAGATTTTGTGGTTGAGTTTATCAAAACCCCGAAAATGGAGGCAATAATGGAACCAGCCGAGCCCCCAACATGGAAACTGTTCGTAGATGGATCCTCAAGAGAAGCGGGCTCCGGGGCAGAAATTGTTTTGGAAAGCCCGGAGGGTCACAAGCTAAATTGCGCAGTAAAATTCGACTTCAAAGCCTCCAACAACGCTGTCAAATATGAAGCCCTTCTAGCAAGTCTTAGACTGGCAAGAGAAATGTAGGTCAGAAGGCTCTTAGCCAGTAGCGATTCTCAGCTGATAGTAAATCAGGTCAGTGGAAGCTTTGCGGCCAAAGACAGCGGTATGGTTGCAAACTTGAAATTGGTTCTGGACCTAGTCCTTCAGTTTGAAAGGTTCGAACTGATTCAAGTCCCACGCCTAGAGAATACACATGCAGACGCCCTTTCAAAATTGGCCAGCAGTAAGGATTATGAGCTATTAAAGGTCATCCCTATTGAACACTTATCGAAGCCCTCCATTTTCGGTGGTTAAAAGGTACTATGGATAGAAGGCACCCCATTATGAATGCAGCCCATCATCGCCTATCTAAAGGATCAAACACTACTTGCTTCTAGAAGTGAGGCGAGGAAGTTAAGAAGAAGGGCTGTGCACTTCATCCTGCAAGAGGATATGCTCTACAAAAGAGGCTTCGCCTTACCACTTCTCCGATGTGTGGGAGGTGAAGAGGCCACATATATACTTAGGGAAATTCATGAGGGAATCTGCGGAAATCACTCCAGAGGAACGGCTCTGGCACACAAGGTTCTTCGTCAAGGCTACTTCTGGCCGACCCTGAAAAGGGATGCTTGCCAGTTTGTCCATAAATGTTACCAGTGTCAGAGCTTCTCAAATATTCAAAGGCAGCCTTCTCAAAGCCTCTCCGTAGTGACCAGCCCCTAGCCATTCGCCAAGTAGGGCATCAACTTCATTAGTCCGCTCCCAAAAGGAAGAGGAAGCACGACTTTCTCCATTGTCGCCATTGAATAATTTACCAAGTGGGACGAGGCTGAACCTCTTGCCTGCCATCGCATCGTCGAATACACTTCAACGAGATCAGTAACAATGAGGCCCAAGTGAACGAACTCAACCTCCTTGAAGAAAGGGGCGATACCTCCCAGGTGAATTTGGCAAAGTATCATAGGAAGATGACCTGCTATTATAACTCCAAGGTCAGAAATCGAACTCTTCGCCTGGGGGACCTCGTTCTCAGAAGGGTCTTCCAATCATCAAAGCCAATCAGGTCCGTAGTGTTTGGACCGAACTGGAAGGGACCTTACCGCATCCGCAGGGAATCCCGACCTGGTACTTTCGAAATTGAAGACATGGCAGGGAAAGCACTACCTCATCAATGGAACATCGAACACTTGAGGAAATACTATCAGTGATGAGCTTTTGTTCCGATCCAATCTCAAATTTGTCTAATAATGTATGTCCTGATCTGATCTCGTTTGTAATTTCCCTAGCTCACCGAGTGCTGAAAATGCCTTAGTGAAGGGTAATGTAACTTCTCTAAGTAATGATATTTCAGTTCTTTGTCACATTAGTTAGTAAATTGTTACCTCAGTCCTTCAATATGTTTACTTAAGTGATTCGATCTTCTGTCATTAACTGGTTATTGTTAAGAGGCGCTTGATGATTACTTAAGTGATCCGATCTTCTGATTATTGTTAAGAGGTGCAGGATGATTAATTAAGTGATCCGATCTTCTGCTTATTGTTAAGAGGTGCCTAATCTTAAGTGATTGTCATTCATATATGTGTAAACAGATCAACACGATAAGAAAACAGAAGCAACAATACTTTGTAAAAATTTCATTTTATTCACTTGAAATTGAATTACAAAAGAGGCCAAAGCCATTACAAAATTAGCTCTATTCTACAGGAGGCCCTTCCCCGCCCGCCTCGAGGCCTCTGGAGCGTCCTCGACAAGCCTGTCAGGCCGGCCTCCAACTGGTCTCCCAAACTCTCCCTCTAAAGAGGAGATGTCCAAAGTAGGATGGACCTCTTTCAGCAAACCCAATAAGCCTTGGGCACTCCAGAAAGCCCAAAAACTTGCAAAGTCGTCATACAGGGGATGCTTCTCGGAGTGGTCAATGAAATTCTGAATAGCCACTTCCCCTGCCGACTTCAATTCCTCTTTCAAGGAGGCGATTTCCTCATATTGGGCCTTCGACCTCTGCCTCAACTCCGCTTTTTCTTTATTGGAGGCCTCTAGAGCCTCCGTGGTGAGCCGGTAGTGCTCGTTGGCATGATCCACTCTTCGGGTCATAGCAGCCACCTGGCACTCCACTTCATAGAGCTCCTTCTTCAGCCGCTCTATGTCTCCTTTAGCAACCGCCAGCTGGGCCTCAGCCTCCCTTCTCCCTTTCTCCTCTTCAGCGGCCTTGGCCCGATCTTCAGAGCCCGGGCCACACAGGCACTATTGGCCGCCACTAAATCCTCGACTGTGCAAGAGGTCGATCCTTCCATTACTTATTGTGGACCACCGCCACTGCAGCCGTTTCTGAGGGGAGAGTCTCCAGTACTTCTTTAACTGGCTCCTCGAAGTTCGTGCCCAAAAGTGCATCTCCTTTGAGGGACGGGCTTTTTTCCTCTTGGGCTGCCCTGGTACCTAGGCGAGAGGTACAACAATAACTGGCACTGTAGCTGGAGCAGGAGCAGCCTATGATGATGCAGGCGTTTTCTCCGAAATGGCCACCCCGATAGGAATTGTAGTTTACCTCAGAACGGGGGTGGTCTCGCCACCGTTGGTCGCTTCGAAGGGACAGCAGGCTTTTTGCCCTTGGAAGCAGATTGGCCTCAGGATCCTCAGGCACTTCCTCCTCTGTCGGGGGTGGGAGCCTCTTGTTGGCATCCACCAAGTCCTCCATCTGTTTCTTATAGGCAGAGGAGGAGGTCTTCAAGGCCCTCGCTTCACCCATCATTTTTTGTATAGTCTTGAAGTCGGGTCGAAGAGGCATCTTCTTATTGAAGTTATCTGTAAGAAACAAGAAAATTAGTACAAGTGTAAACGACTCGAAAGTACTGAAAGGTATTCGCTTCAAGATTTTACCTTGAGAGGCCATCAGGTCGTGCGTCACAAAATAAATGTTCTTTCTGATCAGCCGATGGAACGACCTCTTCTTCGAAAGTAGCTGATATATGACGCAGATGATCTTGAATTCGTCAGAGGACAGTTGGCACCGAGGAAGAGTGCTTTCAAAAAATGAGCACAAATGTTAGTTAGGATCCGAACCGAAGAGAAATAAACAAGAAACATAGCTACAATACTCACTAAGTGACGAATACTTCGTGGGGACCGTAAGAGGTGCCAGCGGTCGCCTTCCATCGTGTCCCATCGCCCGACAGTCCAGCACCACGAGCTCTTCCACTCCTTGATGGAGCTCGGTGGATCGAGCACGAAATGAGTGTGGGAACCCCAAGAGGTCAAGTAATACCAGCCCTTGGTCTTACCCCCCCTCCCCCCGACTGTTACTTTAGGAATATAGAGGGTCTGAAAAACAGAGAAGGGCATCTCCACCCCAAGTGACGCCTCTTTCCATAACATCCAGGAGCCCACCATTTGGCTCCAGGAGTTCGGGTTCAGTTGGGTCGGTGCTAAGCCACAAGACCTAAGCACCATCTGGAAAAAAAGGTGAATTAGAAGCCTAAGACCAGCCCTAAGGATTGCCTCGCTTATCGACACGCACCCTGGCCTAGGGTACCAGGCCCTATCGTCAGGCTTGGGTAGGATCAGGTCTATACTATCTAGTATCCTATATTCAGTCCTAAGTCTTTCTAGGTCGGTCGCCTTTAGTTTGGAGGAATAATCCTACGCCCCCCAATGCACAGAAGTATCTGTTGGGCTATCCGACCTCTTCCAAATGTTCTCTCCCCTAAGTATCGCTTCGACTACTTCGGAGGAGGTCGCCACAATGAGCTCATTCATCCGTACTAACTCCAGCCCCTTCCCCAAAATAACACTACCCTCAGAAGCCATTTTCAGAAAGGAAATGTCTCAAATATTTACTGAAACTTACGAGTTTGAGTGTTCCCCAGTCAGAAATGGTCAAAAAACAGTGTGTGGTCGTCGAAAATTCAAATTTCTCGTCGAAAATGCTTGAAAAACGTCGAAAATCATAAAGAGTTTGAGAGCAATGGGATTTTCTATTTTCCCAAGAGTGAAAAGCTCCAAAAATGCTCAAGTCCGCCTTTTATAGAACGCTCCAACTAATCTCCACTGTTGAATTTAAATGCAATCAATCTAGGCCGTCCGTCGCATTATCAATCTAGGCCGTTGAAATGAAACATCAGATTTGATCTACGCCTAAGATTTTGCTGTGACCCTCACGCTCGCATATAACGCGTTGCCTCGGTCGCCACCAGCTGTCACCAATAAGTAGCCGCAGTAGCCTTTTAGGGAAATGAGGCGCTGGACCCAACTGTCACCTTGAAAATACGCAACAGCTGTCAAATCATTTAATGTCAGATACGCCCGCCTCGGATCGAGTGCCTCACTCAACTTTACAAAGTTTAAACGCACCTGACGCGGAGTCCCCTGTGGGTCACCGCCTCGATCGTTGCGTTCCCTCCTAAGCTTTACAAAGTTTTAGTCATCTCCCAACGCGTCGTCCCCTGTGGGTCAGCACACCGGTAGCAAATGAACTCCTCACTCAACTTTACAAAGTTTAGACGTACCTGATGCGGAGTTCCCTATGGGTCATCGCCTCGGTCACTGCGTTCCCTCCTAAACTTTACAAAATTTTAACCATCTCTCAACGCGTCGTCCCCTGTGGGTCAGCACACCGGTAGCAAATGAACTCCTCACTCAACTTTACAAAGTTTAGACGTACCTGATGCGGAGTTCCCTATGGGTCATCGCCTCGGTCACTGCGT